TGATTAATATTTGTTCAAACTTCAGTACCTTTTGCAAATGTATTAAATAGAATTTTAGACACAGGGCTCGACGTAATTACCAGGGAAAAGACCGGTTATACCATCCATCACACCCTCCCACCATCCATCGTCGTTCTTCTTCAGGACGTAGATGACACTGCTCTCCTGGAAACTCAGCTCGTCCTCTTTATCAGCGTAGTAGTCATAAATTGCAACGACTGCAACAGAAATAAAGATTAATAACCAATTTACGAAATAAACCCCGATATCACTGCGAAGTTAGACAAGTCGAAATTAACATTCGTTACAATTGAGCATTTATCTCGAATATTATTCATTTTAGGGGAAAACACTGAAGGACTTTTTTACAGGCAATTAAATTTCTGATAAAAAAGATTTTTTGATGTTTTCTTCTAAAATCAATGGGTGTGCTGATTAATTGATTGCGGATTTGAAAAATTGGATTTATGGTAAATTTGGGAGTGACCTTTTTCAATGTAATTCTTGGGAACCCAGCCCGGTAGATCTTCCTCGTCTGGTACTATTGGCATTATTGCACCACCCTGGCTATGAGCCTGATTATGACCCTGGGGCCTGCCAAATTGGGAGTGCTCGTCTTGCTCTGGTGGTGGCGGTGGTAATGGAGGACTACCAGCACCACTGCTTCTGCTAATCTGGTGAGAGAACCTGTGGGGTAATGTATGATGTCCGGTGTAATCCGCCGTGTCACCGACTCCAACTAATGGGGAGGGAGGAGCTGCGGAAATTAAATCAGCTGCATTAATCTCGTATGGTAATCAAGGGACACGGGAGACTCTCAAAAATTTTCGTATTTTCTCGTGAAGTTTACCACGTTCTCTAAACTTGCATTTTTAAAAGAAAAACCCAACGAATTTACCAAATTTACATTGTAAAATAATTCGTGCCTCTGCTATTCTTCATTTTTGTGCTGTTTTCACAATTAGATATAATTCCGGACTTTCCAGATAATTGACAAGTTGAATTTATAAAATAGCTTCGACTCCACT